GCCGCGCTCAGCGGTTGTTGCGACGACAGGGTGTAGTGCCCCATCCACTGCGTCCCTGTTCCTCTGACGGGGAGCAAGGTCACGAGTCGGCGTCGCGATACGGAGCACTCCGCTTGCTGAACGGCGGCGGTCTCCACCAGTGCCCGGAGGTTCTGGTGGATCGCCCGTTCGCGAGGGTCGTTCGGCTCGGATAGGCCGCGCAGGAGCATTGCCACGGCGGCAATGTTTTGACTGGCCCGCGCGAACTGCGAGGGATCGGTCCCCCTATCTGGGGTGTTGCACTGGACCTGACGGGCGCGACCCCGAGCGCTGTTCGCCGGTCCATGCGCACGGGGCGTAGTGTAGCGCGCCAAGAGCGCTGGCGCAGTCGGTGGCTGATGCGGCCACTGTCGTCGTAGTTCCTCCCCGTGCTCAGGCGTGAGCTCGGGGGTCTCCGTATGAGGGCCCGGAGGGGCGTGAGTCCGTGAGGACTTCGTTGCCCCCGGCGGCTGTTCCAGAGTGTCTGTCATAGCGCACTCCTAGGACGGACGGTGGCTGGGTGCCACGTCGTCGATGCTGGAGCCGTCACTCCCGACGTCATCGTCCATGATGTTGAGGAAACAGGTGGGAGCGTAGCTCGCCATCCCCACGAACTCAGATGTGAGACGAGGCGGCGCCATAATCTTTCGGAGCCCCCGGGCATACGTGTCCCCGGGAGACACGAGGTCGTAGGGGAACCGGTCGTACGGTGGTCGCGACGGGGACAACGGCAGCCCTCCGGGTATTTGGTGGAAGATAGAATGTAGTAAGTAAAGAACGGCATGTATATTACTCACAGCGGTATTTGAGTAGAGAGTTTGCTCGGGATGAAGCGTAGATGCCGCGCCGTTGAGGTCGCGTGTCCTAGAGTCGATGGAGGACGTCTCTCCGACGGGTGTCGGGTCGCGAGTCTCCTCACGGTGGTGGAGTACGCTGAGCCGGTCGGTGACGAAGTCCAGGCTTCCAAAGAGGAAGGCCTGGGATGGCTCAAAAACAAGTGGAACCCGCATCCCCGCAGGCGAGAGTGCGGGATACTCCGGCGAGCCGAAGCGAATCGTATCGCCCGAGCCCGCCACGGTGGGGTGGCGGAAAAATGGGCCATCCGATTACCAAAAAGTGTTGAACGTACAGCATCTTCCCCACGGACGGCGCCAACTGTCGGTACAGAAAGTGACCAACTAGTGAATATTTGTAGTTTTGCTATACGTCGTGATCGGAGGTGGCCTAGCACTCAATGACACAGAATTTATACTGGTTCAGGCAATGTGCCCTACGTCCAGCTTGGGTCAGTCGGTGACTTTATTCCTGAGCCCAGGTGCTCGAAGTCTGTAGTGGGGTTAGAAATGAGAAGGAGAAAGGAGGGGTGTACGAGAGGCCCGGTCGGGTCCGACCCGAAGGGCCGAGGGCGACCGGAGCTCCGCTATGAGCTAGGAGTCTAAGCGTGTGCTTGAGGGGTTGTGAGCTATCGATCTAGTGAATCTGAACTTGAAGAAGTCGACCTCCTTTATTGGAGGGAGCGCATCCCCTTTTATAGAGGAAGGGGATGGCTTTAGAGGTGAGAGGGAGAGAGTACGGATGTTACTAAGTCTTGTTGCCCACGCCGATGAGGACAGTGATGATGGTAGGCGCCCACAATATTGTTGATGTCACTGTAGAATGTCATGTGTATAGGGGAGTATGTGTTGTCTTCTTCAGAAAGGGTAGATGTCGGTACCTGCAAAGTACTATCGGTATGTGAGGAGCCCTGCCATGTGTACCAGGTATGGTGAATCCTGGCGCCCACTATCGATGCCTAGAGGCATGTGGGGGGCCTTTTGTCGTACGGGAGTCCAACGGCGCCTACAATACTGTAGACACAAATGTCGGCATCTACAATACTGTTTGTGTCAAGGCGGTTATGGAGCACTATTCCCACAGGCGTACAGGGTATGGTCCCTGATATCGTGGTTTGACTTGTGCGCTGCCTTTTCCTTTTGCCCCTGGTTCCTTCCGAGCGGGCGTCCCCGGTCGGATGGCCCCAGTCGGTCCTGGTCACGTCAGTCGGAGAAGAGCGGCAAGCAGGCTTCCTACGGGCCCCCGGTCGGAAACATGATGTTAGAGTAGGAAGCAATGTCTTGGGCCAGGCCTTTCGATCGGAGGGACCGCCCGGAGGTGGCCGGTTCCCGAAGCGAGTGCTCCGGTCGGAGAGGTGGGCCGAAGAAGTTGATGAGCGGGCGTTTTGTTCTTTCGGGTAGACCTTTCGGTCGAGGACCGGAATGTCCTTCCGGCCCGTCTTGTTTTTAGACTCTTGGGCCGGCCCATGAACTACATGCTATTTTCTTCAGCCGAGCCCTGGCATGGGAGCCGGTCCCCGAGGGACCTCGGGTTTATGAACCCGACAGGAACCATGTGGCAAAGATTAATGTGATCTAGACGAGGTGGTCTATCAATAATTGTGATGAGATCTTAACATAGGGATATGTTAAGAGTCAGGATCAAAGGTTCCTGACTGCAGGAGCCCCCGACCACCCTTCCAAGATCGTCAGGGCTTGGGGCTACACCCCTCGGATGCGCTTGCGCGCACCCTCCGGCTAAGGATTGGACCGAGCATGAGCACACCGACCGCCTCTACTCGGGGCTCGAGGGCTCGCCGAGACTCAGGCTAGCTCCCAATCATCATGAGCCTGAGCCCGATCCTTGCCCCCCCGGCCTTCAGCGCTAGCCAGGGCCCAGGCTGGAGACTGGCGCCCCGAGCCCCTGAGCCCCTAGCGCTGCCCAACAGACACGACGTTGTCAATTGCTCCTCTGACAGGGTCACGCACGGGGCGTGACGCAAGAAGACAAACTCCTCCGCTGGCTTCAGGGGCTCGGGGGCTTTTGGGCCCACTCGTCAGCCCCTCAAGCCGGTTGCCTTCATCGCCAAGAAGCCTCCAGAAGGTGCACCTAGTGGAGGCCGGTCCAAGCTAACACATCCTGACACGCAGCGTGTCAGAACAGAGTAGCCGAGACGATACCCAGGGCTTCTTATGCTCCATGACAATGCCAAGGTCCATCCACGCCACTGCAAGACCCTCCTGGACTCCGGCACACATAGACCATAGGCTAATTAAATTCTCCCAAATCGCTATGTACCCGACCTACCTCGATATATAAGGGAAGGTCGGATCCTAGAGAGGGGAGGACAATTCCAAACAGATCATTCTTGTCCTCACCGAACAACTCGAGCTCTGCACTAAGAGCAGAGCCACCCGAGAGGAGTACCGAGAGCTCCTCCCCAGCCATCGTCTTCCTCCTCTCCAACAAGGAGGGAGACCTCACCGACGACGAGGTCTCTAGGATCAGCACCGAGCGATCCCCTGCCAAATCTCTCTCTTACACTCTGCTGTAACCCCTGATTTTGGGTGCTTTTGAGTATAAAGATCATCTGCTGCTGGACGTAGGGCCCCGAGAGCCCAAACTAGGATAAACTGTTGCGTCCTCTCTGTGATCTTTGTGTTCTTGAGTCCACCCGAACCACCGGAGACACACACTCAGTGACAGCCGACTAACAACAATGCTTGCCGCGGTTTTGACCCCGCGACAAGTTGGCCCCGCGACAAGTTGGTTCCATGAATTTTAGTGAAATGATTTCATTCATAATGTTCATACAAATTACTAGCTTTTGGAGATGAAGTGGTGGTAAATTAACACATTCTATATCATAAACCAAATGAAAAGAAGTAAAGGCCAGGAAAGATGATTCACGTTGCTAGTCCTTCCATCCTAAAATATAAGGTATTTAAGTGATTTTTAGATAAAATATGGAGCTTAGTAAAACACCACCATACCTCTCACTAATTAGGATGGAGAGAGTAGTTCAGTTGTTATTTTCCTTAGTTGTTGGCTGTCTATTTGGGTGACCTTAAGTTTAAAAAGAATCTCAATATTTCCTACCAAAAAAAGACAAGAGAGAGGTGGTTGAGAACCCAGAATAACTTGTATTTTGTTACAAGGTTTGAACTATGGTCCCCCCTCATATTTCAGGACGGGGGAGTATTTGCGATGGGTCTTGTCCTTTTGACATATGCATCCTATCCTTATTTGGGTACCATATGCATCTTTTGAGCTTCTATTAAATCGAGAAATTGGATTGCATAACTTTTTATTTTGACTTCAATTTTGATATATATATATATAAGGTGTCATTACGGATAATGTAAATCGAAGCTACTATTCTATGTCTGACTCAGACCTATATGGATCCATCGAAATACCCTATGACTCCACCTTCATCATAAATTTCATATATCACATTCGATAGATGTCATATTCATGGTTACAGTTATTTATGTTTCCAATGTGTTTATGACGTAGCACCAGGTGGATCTTTTCATCTTTAGCTAGCGTGTATCATTTCATGAGCATATAGTATGGTATAGATTTCCTAGAAGAGGTAGCATAAAAGTCTTCTTTTCTCAAAAGGATAATCTTAGAATCCCCTTCTGGGTTTGGAGAAGTGACAATTTTCGCGAACACGAATTTGATATGGTGAGAAATTTCTTATGATAATCATCCACGTACGTCTTAATGATATCTTAATGCCCGATGATCTAACGACTTTTACACACACCCTCGATCTTAAGGGTCACCAAAATCATCTGAGATGCTGAAAAATCGTTTTCCTTTTTTTAAAAAAAAAAGATTGCTCAAATCGTTCTGAAGTAGCCACTATTTCAGCAAAGCCAAGGATGCCTTATAGTATGGGTCTATCGTCTATATATATGCATTCCACTATGCCACCACTATGGTAGTAGAATTCTCCTGACAGAATATATATGGATCGAAAACTTTCAGGTAATTTAATCTGATTTAACCACCGACTACCCGATCTGCTTACAATGGAAGTTTATAACCACGCAAGGCGCGACGTGGTTGTACAACAAACTAGCTGCCATGATCGAGAGCTGAGTAATCCATATATATATATATATATATATATATATATATGTTGATCACGTCCTGTATCACGATGGCGGTCCGCCGATGAGCTTGGTGATGGTGAGCGCGATGCTGCAGAGCTGGTCGACGTCGCGGTTGCGCGCCGTGAGGACGTTGCGGTGGTCCGGCACGCCCTGGCACCCCCGCTGGCACAGCTTCACCTCCGCCTGGCTCGCCACCACCAGCGCCTCCGACTCGCTGTACGCCCCCGTGTCCACCGCCGACGTCGCGTCCGACAGCTGCTCCACCGCCGACTCGTACCTGCACTCGCCACTCGGCCGGGCGTGCTTGTCAGCTACGCATATATAGCACTCGAGGTTGAGGAAGGCAGGCACAGACAGACACGACGCACTGACCTCTCGCCGCAGTCCTCGAGGCACTGCTGCAGCTGCGCCGTCTTGTTCTCGAGGCTGTCGTCGTCGTAGATGCTGGAGAGGTAGGTCGCCGTCTCCGACGCGTTCCGCTGCGCCGCCTGGATGGCCAACCGGGCCAGTCCCGCAGTGTCGGCCGTCTTGGACGACGGGTCCGCGGACAGCGTCGCCACGCACAAGTCCTGGTGCCCCGCCGTCTGCTTGCACGCCTCCTCGAGCGAGTACTTTCTCGACGGCGCGGCCGTAGGTGCCGCCGTGGGGTCTGCGGACGCCGCGGCGACGACCAAGACGGAGAGGATGACGCCGACGGCGGCGTAGGACGTTTCCGAAGCCATATTTGGCCCGCTCTCTCGTGTCCTTTCCTTTGCTGCCTCAACATTTTTGGGGGGCCTAAGTGATTTCCGTATTATCTTGCACGACTTGGCTAAATTAAGGTAGCGAGAAAGCTGATGTCTTGGCTAAATTAAGGGCAAGTAGGTTCGTCGTGTCGGTTTCGTGGTTGTGGGCTTGTGGCTGCTTGAATGAGGCAAACAGCTACGGCTGCGTGCTGACTTGTCATCTACCTTTGCCTACACGGCGGAATGAGGTGTTCTCTTCTAGTTCCGCCGTTCTGGTGTCGACCACAGAGAAAGCTCAGAGGATCGTTTGAATAGGATCTAGCTCTTGTTGCTTAAACCCCAGCCAACCCTCCCAGTAGCAATGGCCAACCTTCTCACCACTTTTATCTTCCCTAAGAAAACCCTTGCTTGTTTGCTGGACACAAAATTAGTCAGCTTTGTGGTGAAGGTAGAGCAAACTAGAGGAGTATTCTTACACATATATGGTAAAAATTTAGACATTATCATTTTTTTAACATTTTTTACACCCTTACTTTCAATGTAGCTTCGCCCCTGAACCCAGCAAAACCTCCAAACTTTTCTACAGTGCTCTCTAGAAACAGAATTCATTTCCTAGCTTCCAAAGCCAGCCCCCATAGATGATAGAGCAGCAGTACTAAGAATATTGTGAATAACGTATTTCTTATTACTATAAGCCGGACCTTTCGTACTAGTAACTCACAACAGAACATTAAAAACATCGCGGGTGATGCACCGACTCCTCAATACAGAAAAGACAACTTGCCTTCTTTTGCTTATATTATCCCTAGTCAGGACTCAGGACCTAGGACCTTGTTTTATGAAAGAAACCACAGAAAAAAGAAAAAAAAAACCTAGGTGGTACCTTCAAAGACCAAACAACAGGAATGTACACTGGGAAAATACCCATGAAATTAATAACTCTGTACAAAGATTGAGAGGAGCACATCCCATTAGAAGGAAACTGCATATTGCAGACTACACATACAAGAGCGTAGTCTTATTCTTTGGTATCCCTTCATACCTGAACATTCGTGTGCTAATCATACAGGCGTGTGAACTAAACCTACAGTCGCTAAAGTTCAGTCTGATAGTACAAGTTACGACAGTGTGAGCCAAGTACATTGCCTCAGCTATAGTACAGGAAAAAAAGATCAGAAGCTCAGCTCATTGGTGGAACACCTTGGTCAGCTTCTGAGACGGGCTCAGGCTTCCGCCTCGGCTGATCCAGAGTGACTCGATCAATTTCTGGATCTCCATGGTCATGGCGCTGTCAGCACTGCCTGCAGAGAGCCGTTTGTGTACCTTCTGAAGGTGCAGCTCGAGTGAACTCGTACTTAGACCAACATTCTTGCTGCAGATTGGGCACACCTTCATTTCTGGACGCTTGTGCTGCTAGTCCATAGATACCTTACCATGCAGCCTCTTATCAAGGGCCAGGAGAGCCTTGGCGAAGCCATCGATTGGCTGTGCTCGACGGTGTACTTTCTTCAGTAAGTTCCAGGCTTTTACGAGAGTGAAACCCCTGAAAAGTACATCTCTATCATGTCAACAGCAAAGCTCCAACAAAATTCTTGTGCAGCCATTATCATGCAATTCAGTCGCAAAGTGGCAGAAGTTAAGACTCTTACTCTCTAAGCATCAAATAGGCTATCTAAGTGCATAACAAAAGCTACGTATCTAGAAAAGCTAAAACGTCTTATAATTTGGAATCGAGGGAGTATATTCTGTTCCAAATTATAAGACGTTTTGACTTTTTTAGATACATTGTTTTTACATTCTAAGCGCATAGCAAAAGCTATGCATCTAGAAAAGCCAAAACGTCTTATAATTTGGAATGGAGGCAGTAATTCTTTGTTAAAGAGCACAAAGACCATCCAGCAAGGGACTGCACATGTTCATAATAGATCTAAAATACTAACTCTAGTTCAGTTCAATGCAAAACAATATAAATCAGAAAACCAACAAACTATTTCGCAGATCCTTCATCACCAATCAGAATTAAGAGAGCACTACCTAGTTTCGATCAACTTATTTCTGTCCAAGTTTACAGCAACATGTGCTTGATCCAGGTGAACAAAGAAATAGGGCATTGAAAATTTCAAGGAAATAGTATCAGTAGATCTGCTTTTTGTTATTATAATATTTTCCATGAGCATAATCTAACAAACAGCCACTTGCTCATTTTAGGTGGTGAAATCCAACCCTCATGTTCTACCATATCCTTATTTCTAGTGTATGTGCGATGGTCCTTTATGAGCATCTACGACTCACATGATGCTCACCTAAGTTCCATCACAATTATTGTTTGTCCATATATACAGCAGGCTGCAACTCATGCGGACCACCAAGAATTAGGACATTGCAATAAGGATCAAACTAAGAGAACAATACACATATTTTCCATCAGTTTGTTATCTGTGCACATTTAGATTGAATGCAATTCATGCAGAACACCAAGGATTAGGCATTAAAATTTATGGATAAAAATATTAGAGGATCACACGTCATTGTTATGCAGCATTGTCTATGCACACAAACAAGATCGCTAACAAACTAATCGGTACAGATGATGAAACACAACTAACATATTCTATTGTATCCATGCACCATGCTTCAACCGACCCTAAATGTGTGATGGTCCTTTATGATGGTCCTTTATGAGCACCTACGACTCACATAGCGCTCACCTAAATTTCATCAAATTCATTGTTTGTCCATATTTACAGCAGGATGCAACTCATGCGGCCTACCAAGAATTAGGACATTGTAGAAATCATATAAAATATAATATTTTACCCATCACACTATGTTTCTGTAAATATAAAAACCATATCAGCAAGAAGGCTGCCAGCATGTTTGCAAGTTAAAGCTATAAATCAAGAACGAAGAAACATATCCTGCTAGGTTCTTACTAATCTCTTGCAAGTGAATGTGGTCCCATTATGAGCACTTACAAATCATTTAATAATCAACTAAATTCCATCAACCTTATTCTTTGTTCATATTTACAGAAAGACGCAACTCATGAAGCCTGCCAAGAATTAGGAGATTAAGTTAAGACTTACGAGCACACAGAGGTACATATTTACTATTTGCAGGCTATAATTGTAGAACAGGTTGATTAATCCACAGTTCCACACTCCAGTTCATTTTAGCACTTCCAGAAAGGACGCTTCTGAAGGAGGAATATTTTTGAAATCATACAAACCAAACCTAATTTCTCAAATTATTACCAATCCATATTTACAGCAAGACACAACTAATACATATAGCCTACCAGAGCCTTTTAGATGAACTCTAGGTCAGCTAAAACAATTAGTCTATATGTTTATGCACATTAGAAAAACAGATCAAGTTCACTTAATAAAACAACATTGTCATTGACCATACATGAATAACAAAAGAAAAGTGTTGCTAATTGATAGTCATAGATCATGTGTTGGCGGTGCAATATGAGCCTACTATATACCAGTAAACGGAATACTTACACACGACAGGGAGGACTTGAAGGAGCTAAGCTTGCGTTTCTGATTAGTCTCAGACGCATGTGTTGTGTAGTCTTCACTTCTCGCCTATCAGGTGTGACCTGGGAAGTTCTTGATATATCAGGTGTGACCTGGGAAGTTCTTGTAGACTTAGATTTTCTATTTGCCTTATTAATATCCTTCTTTGACATCTTACTAGTGTCTGATTGATCATCTTCATTTTTATCAGTTTCAAGATCTTTATCCTTCACCAAAGAGCGCATTTTTTGCAGCTCATCCTCAAGAATTGACATCCTCTCTTTGGCATTTGTCACCTCAACTTGTAGTCTAACGATTTCATCATCCTTCTTTTGGGCTGCCACTTGCAGCTCATCTACATTCTGCAGAAGCTTTTGTGCTTGCTTTACCTCTATGCTCTTGCTCTTAATGGCACCACTGTAATCTTCTTCCATTGTCTTAAGCTGGTTACACACAAAATTCTTTTCTGCTTGTAATGCTGAAATTTCCTTGTCCTTCTCTGATCTCAGGATCATGTAAGCTTTCTTTAGTTTCCTTATCTCTTCCCTAATATCTTTCCCACTTTTCTGGTGATCTGAATTGTCGGTACAAATCTCCACCTGACTTTCAAACTTCTTCAGTTTTTCCTGGCATTATGAGAGAAGGTAAAAAATCGGTGAGATGGACAATATGAAATCCACAATGGTCCAGGCAAACTAAACTCATGTATTTGTAATTACCTTTAGCTCAGTATTTTCAGCAGCCAAATTAGAAATACAACTTTTGAAGTCCTCCAAATCATCCTCAGCAAGTTCTGGTTTGAGCACACATGGGAAGGTTTGACTTTAACTTCCAAAATAATAAGTTGGAATCTCAAAATGCAACATGGAGATGCGGTGAACAACTGAATATACAAGGTGCCCAACATATACTTTGCCTTTTAAACAGCTGTAAACCATATGGAAAATACTGCACAAATCCAACTGGATCGACACAACTGTAAAGCCCAATTAGGTGGGAAAAATAACCAACATTCAAGTTCTTGATAAAGAAACTAGTTTGTTGTACAAGTCTAGGCTGCTGTAAGATCCAAAAGTTAATAAAATAATGCACATGGCATAGTCAACCACAGTTGGAATCGCAAACTGCAACGTGGAGATGTAGCTACCATACAAGGTGTCAACTTCTAGTGTGGTGACTGTTTTACACCAATGTAATCTTAAGAAGTTAAGAGACAACTCTAAGCTACACAATGCACAGCAGAAACAAATAGAGATGAAGCTTTTTCATTCTTATTCTTATAGTAGCAGCAAACGTAGGCTCAGGAAGGGCAGGTGCCCACGAAAGGCCATAGAAAGCATAATGAAATTGGCACAGATATGTACTATATACCTAAAGAGGACAAACTAACTTCAGTAATCGAGAGAGTGCAATCGAGCACAGAAAGGAACGAACTGCCACTACAAAAGAGCTCCAATCATAAAGAACGAATATGAACTGGAACCCGCGAAGCGAAGGTAATGTTTGGTTTCATTATACAACGCGAGAAGTATTTTAAACGCAAACCAGTATCAAGATAACGATGAAACCCAAAGAGAAACAGTCGAAGCTGGGGCAAAGGAACTTGGTTCCTCTCCTTCCTTACCTGCGAGCTTCTTGTAGCAGTGAATCTGAAGCTCCTTGCCACCAATACGCGCCGCCGTCTCAGCCTCAACGACTCTCTTGCGGAGCTCCTCGTGCTTACAGATCTGGAAGTAGAGATGGCGCAAAGAAAAAAAAAACCTAGCGCGCGTCAGCGGCGGCGGAGAGCTGGCCTTCCCCGAATCCAATCGCAAAGAGAAACAACCCGTAGACCGGGAGTCCGGGACCCGAATCGTTCGTACCTGCTGGAGGCGGGCCTGGGAGATCTCCTCGCGCTCGCGGATGCCGCTCTGCAGGAACTGGAGCTCGGTGATGAGGTGCTCGCGCTCGACGGAGAGCTCCTCGGCCTGCGCGTACGCCTGGCGCAGCATCTTCACGAGGCGATCGTACGCGCGGCGCCACGCGGGCAGGTAGACCTGGCCCGGAGTGGGCGCGGGCGCGGGCGCCGGCACCAGCGCGCCGCCGTCGTCTCTGCCCATGGAATCCGCTAGAATCGGAGAGCAGAGGGAGGCGGAGCCGCGGAAGGGACGGCCGCCGCTTGGGGTTTCCTGTGGAGGTGCGGTTTGCGCCGCGAGGAGGAGAGCGGTGGCGGCGTGGAGCGGACGGAGCGGAGGGAGATGACCGTTGAGGCAAATTCTGAGAGACCGTCTTCCCCCTGCTACGGCACGTTCGGGTGGCCGGTTCGTTTCCATCCTGATTCGTCAACAAGTATGGCTACCTAGTCTATACGTGGGAGAAAAATATTAATTGCGAAGTCAATTTTTGAATGGCCGCCCAAAAAATTATCGATTATTTACGATAAGCAAACACTTCAGTAATAGTGCAATCGAGCACGAACAGGCTGCTAAAAACCTCAATCGGTTCAAATAACCCCGTACGGTGGTTTCGAGAAGTATTTTAAACGCAAACCAGATCAAGTGATGAAACCTGATGCAAAGGAACTTGGATGATTGACAAGTGGGCTTCCCTGAATCTGGTAAATGGGCAGGTCACCTCACCTTTGCACCAAGAACATAGGTCCGTAGAAGGCGCAAAGCTCCAGCGCGCGCAGCGGTGGAGCTGGGATTGAGGTAGACCGGAGCCGGGTTGGAATCGTTCGTACCTGCTGGAGGCGGGGCGGAGAGCCATGGCGCGGCGGCGTCTGCAGGAAGGAGCTCGGTGATGAGGTGCTCGCGCTCGACAGAGAGAAGCCTCGGCCTGCGCGGCGGCAGCATCTTCAACGCGATCCCGCGAATAAGCGCCAAAGGAGGTAGACCGTGCGTGGCGCGGGCGCGGGCGCCGGCACCAGCGCGCCGTCGTCGTCTGGCCATGGAATCCGCTAGAACGAAAGCAAGGCGGAGAGCGGAAGGGACGGCCGCGCATGGAGGTGCGGTTTGCGCCGCGAGGAGAAGCGGTGGCGGCGTGGAGCGGCGGAGCGGGGGAGATGACCGTTGAGGAGAGCTGCTGATTCGAGGCGGCGAAAGAAAATATCGATCCGCTTTACGCGGCTGAACAGGCTGCTAAAAGGCCTCAATCGGTTCAGATAAGCGCCGAGATGTATGCGTTTCGATGGCGGACCATGGCGGTGTCAAGTGGTGCGGTGCGCAGGCAAGCCGAGGAGAGCAAAGAATCGCCATGGGATTGGAAGCCGTGGCTGCCTTGCTGCTTGCACGCGAGGGAGGAAGGCGAGGGCGAGGCGGCGGCGGCGCATGGCCTCGCCTCGACGCGCCCGCGGATAGCGCCGAGTGTGCGTGCTTTCGGCGCTGCGTGGCGCGCCTGGCAGGAGGAAGGCGAGTGAGGGGCGGGCGGCGGGATGCAAGTGGCGCGGGCAAAGCCGCTTAACTTCATTGGTGGGGAAAGCGAGGGAGCAAACGGGCGGCTGCGGCGGCCTCGAGCCCGCGGAACGCCGAGAGTGGCGCCACAAAGCCCGCAAGATTGGAGCGGCTCGATGTGGCTTGTCCGCGAGATTGGAACGGCTCGCGCCGCGCGTGCGCATACGCATAACGACGCATATCCCGAAGTTAAGCGGCATTGTGGAGTTTCGGAAAAGGCGCGCACATGGCGCACTCCACCGCGTCCTCTACTCCTGGTCCGAACCTTTGTGGTGTCCACTTCTACCACCGGCCTTCCGTGGACTATTGGCTGCCGTGGTGCTGCTAGCTAGCTGCCATGGCTTCCGCGGACACCGCAAAGGCTGCCGTGGGGCGATGGGCTGTTCGCCTCGCCATTGCCGTGAGCGATGGGAACCTCGTCGCCGGGCTGCTCCTCCACTGCCTTGCGTTTTTTCTACGCACTATTGGCTTTCCATGTCCAATCGTTGAAGCAGTAGCGGAGGGATCAGAGTCGATGTAGAACAGAGAAGGTGACGAAGACGAAGAGCAGGAGGATGCTCACCACGCCACCGCCCCTGCTGTGGGCGCAGTTGAAGTGTCAGCGTCCCAAAGGCATAGGCCATGGTGCTGCTGCACGCCATGGCCAAGGCGGGTGAAGCAAGCTGCTTGGTTCCTTGATTTCTTTCATTGTAATCAATGGTGGGTCCCATGTTTCACGTGCAGGCACTTGATAGCGTCGAGAGCGGTGCATGCTCCACGGTCGCGCCGCCGGACAGGGAGCGGCCGAGCTCGTCACGCGCCTGCGACGCACACTGCGCGAACTGCGCCTCGCGTGAACCAACGGCCCTCTACAACTTACAAGCGGGCCCACTTGCCAGTCGTCTACGTCAGCACCAAAGTCCACCTCAGCGTGCCAGCATGGTAAAACCACTATGCAAAACCACCGTAGGCGGTTATTTGAACGGTTTTGCAAAGGTAAGGGGGTTAAATACCTGATTTTATAGGTTAGGGATAAAGTAGCCGAGCTGCAATAGGTGAGGGGCTATATAGACTTCTTCGTAATAACAATCTCGATGCAACCTTCAACCGTATACTCCCGTCTCCGTTACCGACGCTGTTACCTATACTCGGGGCTTTTACATTTTTACCATTATAAAGATTGGCACTCATCCGAATATCACTCTTAGGATGACACTTATAACTTTACCAGATGAGAGAAGTTTTAGATTTAGATTACCACTTTTGCGCATGTGGCATGCCACGCTAGCTCGACACGCTGGCGCCTAGTCAGCATGAGCACGTGAAATATCGTTGCTACCCCTGCCTTGCCCCTCTCTCTCCATCCCCGACAGCTGGGTCCCGCGACAACTGTCACTGCCAAGTGGGCCCCACTAGTCAGCTTCGTCTTCCAGCTCGTGGCCGATTCCCCACGGTTGCTACTCTTCGATCCCGTGGGCAAGAGGACGGAGGATGGAGCAGCACGCAGCAGTTAGCGGAGGAGGAGGCGTGGCCGCGTGGGGGACGGTCGGACGGAGCTCGGAGCAACACGACGTGAGGAAGCCGAGGAGGCGCATGAAAGAAAGCAGCTCTACATGCCTGCGTCTCGCTCGTGCGCGCGGCAAAGGCAGCCCGCCTACGGCCTCGCTGCGACACGCATGAGAGCAACTGCATGCCCTCGAAAGGCGGAGAGGAGGAGGAGGTGGTGGCTCACCACTGGGAGCTCGCATGGGGAGCAGCTGCTCCGACGAGCTGGGCGTGAAGGTCGTGTCAAGCTTGTGGTGCGTGCCACATCCAGGCACTAGGCGATGGGGGCACTAGGCGATGGAGCTCTAGCCATGGCGAGCGGCGCCCGGTGGTGCTCCTGCGCGCACGGATGGAGGAGCGTGGCCTGTCTGGTTGTCTCCCATCCAGGTGCTGGAGCTAGAAGACGAAGCTGACTAGTGGGGCCCTATCTAGCTCGGCAAAGGATGGCAAAGCCGTGGGACCCAAATTGTCGGGGATGGAGAGAGAGGAGCAAGGCAGGAGTAGCAACGATATTTCACGTGCTCATGCGGACTACGCGCCAGTGTATCGAGCTAGCGTGGCATGCCACATGCGTAAAAGTAGTAAATCTATAACTAAAATTTCTCTCATCTAATAAAGTTGAAAGTGCTATCTCAATCTTTATAATGTTAAAATGTAAAAGCCGCCTGTACTCCCTCCGTTCACTCGACAGGGGAAAGGCGAGAGAGAGAGGGCCGAAGATTCACGCGATTTTCTCCTTTCTCTTTCGTGATTCAGCGACGGCGGCCGAGAGCTGAGGGCTGCTCGTGCGCTCGAGGCTTCGGCCAGCGCACGGCTGCGGGAAAAGTGGTGGCGCCGGCGCGGGCCCATTCGCCGGAGCACGCGCGCGGCCGAGGCTGCACGCGGCTCCGTCGAGCGGCTCCCCGTCGGCCCTAAGGAAGATGGCGCACGCGGTGTCTCTTCGCGGCGGCGGCGAGGCAGTCTGATGCGCGTGCGTGGTCCGCGGTGGTGGCAGCTGCGGCGTCGCCCTGATACGCGTGCGCAGCGCCATTAGATGCGCTCTGATGTGCGCGCGGTAGCGGCAGCAGCGGCCTGAAGCGCGGTGGCTCGCGCGCGCCGTGCGCCGCGAACCTGCGAGCTCGGCCCCGGTCCCCATGGGCGCCACGCCGGCGGCCGGCGGGCTCATCCCCGGCAACCGCGGAAGGCGCGCGGGCGAGCTCGGCCCGTCTCCAATGGAACTCCTCCAGGTCCGTGTAGCAGCAACAGTAGGTCCGTGTCGGGCTGAGCCGTTGTGTGAGGAGTGAAGAACGATTCAAAGAAAAGCACGAACACACGAATTCAGAACCCAGAATCTCACGGCAGCAGCTGAAATTCTATTGGAAATAATGGAAATAGCAGTACATGGGTCCCCTAGCTCGCCATGGCGACGGCGGCCTCTACAACAACTGCTAAGAAGAGTGTTCAAATCATATTCGTGATGTCTCAGATAGCAGCTCTCCCCAGCCTAAGTACACGGCTCGGTGGGGAATAAGTTACAGACCAAAAGTAAGTTTAGTACTAATTCAATTACAAGGTAAGCGTGCTTAGGCACTAATTTTGATGACATTTGTTGATGTCCCTTGGATGACCGATTGACGGTTCTGGAGAGGAACAGCAAGTCATTGGTAGCTAGCCCCTGACGACTGATTACTTGGTATCCTGACAATGCCCCCTCTTAACATCCTTGTCCTTCAAGGATGGAAGGAAGGAAAGATCTTGCGGATGAATTGAGCATCTTCCCAAGTTGCTTCTGATGCTGGTAACTTCTGCCAATGAATGAGCCATTGGACAATGGGCTCATTGTTGCGAGGTATCATGCGTCGATCTAATATAGCCACTGGAGCAACCTTGATGTTACCTTTGGCGTCAATGAGTGGGAGGTCTGGTGTTGGGACAGCATGAGGACCAAGGTATTTCTTGAGCTGGCTCACATGAAACACGGGATGCAGTTGACAACCTTCCGGAAGCAACAGTTTGTAAGCAACTTTTCCAATTCGTTCTAGTATTCTGAATGGGCCATAGTACTTGGAATGGAGTTTCAGAGAAGTATGGCGGTATGGCTGCAGTTTGAGGTAGACCATCATGCCAACATCATATTCTCTCTCTTTTTTGTGTTTGTCCGCTTGATGCTTAATTCTGGATTGAGCTTTGTGAAGGTTGTCCTTAATCAACTGTGAGCTTTTCTGTGTTCTACGATTCTGAATATGCTCATCTGCTTTTGTCATACACCGCTGCGATCTAAGCATGTGTGCCTTGTTAGGGCTTACAAAGCTATGATTATGAGCGAGTATGACTCTGCATTGTCCAAATCCCTTCTCGTGACACATAGAATTGGACACGAGCATTACAGCATGTCCTTGTTGAAGCACGCTCTTTCTTTGGTTGATATTCTGGATTAGTGTTCATGTGACCTTCATTACTGCAAACAAAGTACTTCGAAGATAATGTACCATCTGCTCTATGTTTAGTGTGGCACTTCTTGATACTAAACCTGACTTTTCCAGCATATGCGTTATAAAACTTGTATGCGTCTTCCTCTGAATTAAAGGTCATGCCAACCTTTGGCACAAGTTCAGCTGAGAGAGTTTGGTCATTACCCTACATACACCAATGCCGTATATCCCATATCAATTACTTCTGCTGAGAGCTTTCATAGAAAACTACTTATGAATTAATTCATCATTATAGCAATATCTCACTGACCTCCAAACCTGTTACAATAGTTTCTTCGGATTTCTTGTTCTCGGAGTCAAAATATCCACCACCATCCTCAAAGTTGGTACAAGAGCTTTCGTCCACATCACCATGAGCAGTCGGCTGCAACATTTGGTCAGAAGACAAACATGTCAACTCTCGGCGAGCAGGAAGGTGAAGAAGCTCTTGAGCGCTAGATATGTCACATATGCACAGTATACTTTATTTTATTAAATAGAAAGGTGTTCCTCGCTCACCTCAAACCCTGCAATTTCTTCAGTTTTCTCAGCATTGGAGTTGGAATCTCCATTGCCAACCTGAACACTGCGATAAAAACTTTTGCTCATATCAGCATGGGCAGCTGGTTGCAACGTTGGGACAAATCTACCGGCGACAGCTTCTGCCACCTTGAGCATGGAAGACGTAGGGAAGAAAGAACTTGATCCCAAACATGCGCCTGGTGTCGCGGCAGCATCTGCTTGGCTTCGATCCATCGCAGCTACGTGTAACATGTGGCCGACGCTTGCCTCCATCACCATGTATGGATGGCTTCCTACGCAAGGAGCGCTGCACAGACTCAAGTCTGGAGGAGGAGCGACACAACTGACGGTGCCTTCCAATAGAAGGAGCTGTTGGTGGCTTCCAGTAGAAGGATATTAAGCCTTAACGGTGTTTTCAACGTACCGTTAGATGAGAAATTGAGAATAGAAAATTCATGAAAGTACTCTCTCCGACCCTAAAAAAGAGTCGCTATGAGAATCGTACTGGTCAAACTTTCTCAACTTTTACTAAGTTTGTAGAAAATACGTGCAACATTTATATCTTCAAATAAGTTTATTACGAAAGTGTATTCAACGGTCTACCTAATGATACTAATTATGTACCATAAATATTAATATTTTGTTAAATATTTTTGGTCAACGTTAAAAGTTGTTGACTTTTTAGGAAGCGAGAATGACTCTTGTATGTGCTTTGAGATTGTTGAGATGTGTATGTGTCATTTAGAGAGCAAGATCCTTCGTGATGAAGGACCGGATCCTTCAGAATTTGGCTCCCGATGGCGGGGGGCAGGTTTTAGGGTTAGTTTGGTGAGCCCCGCCTAACATTCACGCAATTTGAACAGGAATGGGCCGGTTTTGCAAGAGAGGGCGTCATTGCCTTCTTGGATTTGGATGTCGGGATTATGGGTGAAAACGGTACGGATATTTTTGGATCGTATTCGAGACCGAATCCGTTTAGAGAGGTTCAGATATGTCCATATCCAAGTCCGGATATTCAACATCCGATACCGTATCTGTATCCGAATACTCAAATCGCATATTTATGATGTCGATGTCCAATCATATCCTATTCGACATGGCTGACATTATCCGTATTCGAATCCGAATCCAAGCAAAAATATGAAAACCAATGTAATATTAGTGATATATCCGTTCATATCCGATCCGTTTTCATCCCTGGATGAGTAGTCAGGCCTGGGCCGCTGGACGCAAAAGGAGTAGCTACGCCAGATTCAAGTTCTCGACAAAAACTAGCAGCTACTCCAAATTTTTCCACACTGCTTTCTGAAAACAAAACATTTCTTAGCTTCCAAAAGCCCCCATAGAGCAGCGGTACTAAGAATATTTGTGAATAACGTAATTCTTATTGCTAAGCCATACTCACTCCATAAAAAAAATGCAATCCTCGTATTTTAAGAAACCAAATGCTTTCAAATTTAACCAAATTTATACAAAAAAAAACGAACATTTATAATACAACATAAATATCAATAGATTTATTATGAAATATACTTTCTTAATAAACTAATTTGAAGACATAAATGTAAATAGTAATTACTATAAATTTGATTAAACTTGAACCACTAAAATGGGCATGGATACCGTAGTTGCGTTCTTCATACTGATTCACAACAGATCATTTAAAAAATAGCGGGGATGCACTTACTCCTTTTCACTAGAGAAAAAGACAACTTTCATCAACCTCCCTTCCTTTGTTTTTATACGGGTCAGGACTCAGGACCTTATTTTATGAAAGAAACCACAGAAAAAATGTACCATAGGTGCCACCTTGAAAGGCCAAACAACAGGTATGAACACGGGGAAAATACCCATACAATTAATAACTCTGTACAGAGATTGAGAGGAGTACATCCCATTAGAAGAAAACTGCAAATTGCAGACTACACGTACAAGAGCGAGTGTAATCTTATTCCTTAGTGTTGCGCCCTTCATACCTGAACATTCTTGTGCTAATCATACAGGCGTGTGAACTAAACCTAGTCACTAAAGTTCAATCTGAGGACTTGTTTAGTTCCCAAAAAGTTTCCCAAAAAATGCTACGGTAGCCATGCATCACATCGAATCTTACGATACATGCATGAAAGCATTAAATGTAGACGAAAAAAAAAACTAATTGCACAGTTTGGTTAGAAATTACGAGACAACGTTTTGAGCGTAATTAATCCATGATTGAACACTAATTATCAAATAAAAACGAAAGTACTACAGTAGCTAAATTCCCAAAATTCGTGAACTAAACACAGCCTGATAGTACAAGTTACGGCAGTGTGAGCCAAGTACATTGCCTCAGCTATAGTACAGGAAAACAGATCAGAAACTCAGCTCATTGGTGAACAACTTGGTCAGCTTCTGAGACGGGCTCAGGCTTCCTCCTCGGCTGATCCGGAGTGACTCAATCGATTTTTGGATTTCCATGGTCATGGCACTGTCAACACTGCCTGCAGAGAGCCGCTTGTGTGCCTTCTGCAGGTGCAGCTTGAGCGAACTCGTACTTAGACCAACATTCTTGCTGCAGATTGGGCACACCTTCATTTCTGGGCGCTTGTGCTGCCAGTCCATAGATACCTTACCATGCAGCCTCTTATCAAGGGCCAGGAGAGCCTTGGCGAAGCCATCATTTGGCTGTGCTCGACGGTGTACTTTCTTCAGTAAGTTCCAGGCTTTTGCGAGAGTGAAACCCCTGAAAAGTACAGCTCTATCATGCCAATAGCAAAGCTCCAAGAAAATTCTTGTGCAGCCATTATCATGCAATTCAGTTGCAAGTGGCAGAAGTTAAGACTCTTACTCTCTAAGCATCAAATAGGCAAGTACGACTGTGGCACTCCGACTCTTCCCTTCAAAGCAATGAACTAGAATCTTGCCCCCAACATGATCCACACGATCAATAAAGTCTGATGCTTCCTCAAAAAGATCACTGATGTTTGCATCATCATCATCGCTAATCTGTAGAACACAACATTTTTCAATTTAAATATGTGACTATGAATCATGTAAAAGACATCACAAATGGGAATCCTAAACCACAGAGATTGATGCTCTTACTGAAAAGTTCTTGTATTCAAAAAGATCAGGAAATTGGGAATCGGATTGACCAATCTCATTTGAACACAAACAGAGTACATGGGTAATGCCCAAATGCTGTAGGGTGTACTTAGACCTTGCAGCCAGAGCCCCACCTATGAACAAGTTGTTGACAACAAGAGAAGGTCGTTCTGTATTTGCAGCATCAGAAATCAAGGCTATCCTTTCAATGATGTGTTCAAGACGCACCTGCAAGTGATGTATTATCAAGCTCACTAATTCCTTAAAATGGAGTTAAAAGTTTAAGTATATCCTGAGACTCACCTTCAATTCATTGGCATCAGCTACCATGTTGTTTTCAGTTCCATCAAAGAAACCAGAATGAAAATTGTTCTCTTGGCAAAATTTGATCACATCATTCTTAAGTGCTTTGTTCCACTGCTCAATCTCTTTGAGCAATTCAGGATCAACCTGCAGCATCAATATTATTTCAATTGAGGTTCGTAAATCGTAATCAACATCATCAACAACAAAAACAAGCCAAACTCATAGAAAAAAACTCACTGAACAGGGTAACTTGAGTTTTCAATACAAGCTTTGGTAAAGCTTGTTGCAATCACACTGGCTGTGACTGCACCATTAAAAAGAAAGGTAGGCTATTCCAAAGGAAAACAACAAAACCAGTTGGGGTTACGCTAGAAATGAAACCCCAAAAAATTCTACAATTACATCGATCGAAATAAAGTAGATACTACTTACAGTGAATGAACTAAATTAGATAAGAAAATACTTTCACTGAACAAAAGAAATTAGAGCAACAATGACAGCAGATATGATGTAAGGATGTTTTTCCTTTAAAAAAAATGAATTCTCACTTTCACTCAGGAGATTCTTACCTTCGGGTTTTTGTAAAAATCACGAAGTTTCATTGTCATTCTTAAACTACGGGGAGCCTCTGCACTTCCCTTGAAGTACTTGTTGTTCCAACTGTCCCTGGACAGAGGAGAAACTGAATCTGAGCTTCCACGGGATCCCGCAGAAGACAACTTCGTTGCAGATTTCAGCATTTCAGAATCACTATGAAGCTCATTGTTTAGTTGCTTACTAGGAGGGCAAGGGGTACTATAGCTGGCTCCAGGTGAAGGAAAATCGGAAAGGGCAGCATCATTATTGTCAGATTCTTCAGAGGTTTTAGTAATTATGGACAAGAAAACTCGCAATACACCATCCAGTTTTTGGTAAAGTTGGAGAAGAAATAGATGGAACCCCTCCAGGTCCCTAAGAGCTGCACGAAATGATCCTCGAAATTCATGAATCACTGCAGCATTGTCTTCATCAGAAAGGGAGCAACAAGAATCACTGGAAGTAACCTCATCAGGTCGTGAATGTCCAAGCTTACCACCAGAAATTTCATATAGGATACTTGCTGAGTAGTCTGAGCTATTCAAAATGAGCTCCACAACTTTGGGATACCTCTCATGATCTTTGACACGTCGCCCCACAGGGGGGCGGCGGGGCACACCAGTATCAATTGCTACAATGTGAAAATTGCCATTTGTTCTTTCAGCATTTTCCTTTTCATTTATCAATGCTTCTAGTTTTGGTGACATGGGATCCAACCCTGGTGAATCAAATTTTCCATTCAAAGAGTGTGACCGCTTCTCTCTATGCAAAAATTTTGTAATCAGTTGGTTGGAACTATCTGTAGAGCTCTTGAAATCATCCAATCTGTCCAAACTGGGTAAGGATGATTTATCTGAAATCATCAGGTTTGCAGGATTACCACGCCAACCAAGCTGACGGCATGGGAGTCTGTCCTCATTCCGCAGTATCAGATCAAGCATCAAAACCCTTCCCAGTGATGAAGCAGTAACACAAGCAGCTTCTCGTGAATTGAAAGCCTTTGAACTCTCAAGCAGTGGGGAGCCATGAATATAACTGCCAAGCCAAAATGCAAATTTCAACTCCAATATACAGGTCACATAGAGACAATGTGTATAGCTAGCATGGTTGTACTAATAAGGTAACACTGCAACAGTACCTCATTAGAAGAAGGCAGCGGCTTAGCTCAAGAGCTTCTAACAACTCTGAGCAAGTCATCTCACCTACCTCGTCATTATTTGAAACTGCTGCTGTTTGAGCATTTTCTGCAGCATGCCTAATCGCCAGCCACTCTGAACTAGAATTATATACTACTCTAGCCTGCATTTGTTATAAAAGCTGTATAAGAAATCATTGCTCCATACATTATCAAGTTGTACAATATTAATTGGGGGTTTGGAAATACTTGTGGTGTATGGACTCCGAGCAATCTTGCATACTCATAACCCAAACGTTCTGCCTGTGTTGCCATCTTTGATGATGAGAATTTTATAACAGCTGCCGTTTCTGGAACTCCACTGTTACCTGGAGAACTAAATAGAGCAAAGAACACTACGCCACCAGAGTTCACAGTCACCTATAAACAACAAGGGTATGCAAATCAGCATGTTAATCACATGCATCAATATAGATGATACTCACAAGTGAAATGGCAGTAGAAGAATATGAGCTTGAATGTTTAATACTTCCTCTGACTTTTGTTAAGTGTATTTCAATTTGAGAAAGTCAGACACAGTAAGTTTTGAACAATGGATATCAAATTACATGCATACTTAGTGTACAAAACTAGTATCAATTGTGTTTGTATTTCAAAGTGCTTTTAATATGATATTTAGTTTTTATCAATTGATAAAGTCTACATTGGAGAGCTTTCCATTCCCTACTAAAATATTCCCCTGAAGGTGGATGGAGAATATAAGATGTTTGTCATGCCAATTTGTCTCAGATGTGGTAAACAGAAGCAAATAGTCTTTCTCACTACAATGGCCACACAGGATGTTGAAATCGGCATCATAACAGGTTGTGACAAACCTCAAGAGCTTTATTCATTTCGTCTTCAGTTTGTTCTGAGCTACTACTATGTTCTGTATGATGCAGAGACGACAACACGTCCCATGAAAATTCAGATGACTCAATGTCCAGTGCAGAAGAATTCCCAAGTCTCTCCCACAAGCTTATTTCAGGAGATTGATCGCAGGCCAATGGATCTTTTCCTGTTGGTTCTTCTCTAATCAAGTGTTCACTACAGTGGGCACAGCAAAAAGACAATAACAACATTAGCTCAGAAAGCTTATGAAGCTGCTGCTTAAACCGATATATTTTCACAATTTACAACTCATACAAGTTCATCTTGCAAGTGAAATTCCCTTAAGATCCATGCTCCATATTCTAAAAACCATTAGAATCAAATAAAGTGTAAAAGTTATATTGGGCCAAATTCATTATATGTAAAATGTTATTCCTTGGCTTGTTGATAATGTTGCCATCATTCTACTATCTAGAGCCATCTCTTTGTTTGAGACAATTCCAGAATCAAGATCTACACATCATATAATAACAGTTACACCTAATCATAATTACAGATCTAATCTATCATCTTGGCAACAAAGATGACAATTTGGGGTCTAATCATAATATACTATTATGGGAAAAATTCCAAATTACTCCCCTCAAGTTTGGTCTATGTCCAGATGAGCATCTTAACTGGGGAGAATAGGAGGGAGGTATAAACACATTACAGACATACAATCCAACCTACTCCTTCACCAAGAGAAAAGACAATAGGGAAATCTATGTGTTGGCACAGATTTCAACTTTTCAGATATTATTCCTGGTAATTCAGTTAACAAGAGAAATGTAAAAGAGGGTTCAATCTTGTTTTTCTCCAGGAACGCACAGCATTCCATTTTTCATTTGAAGTAAGATGGAACATAATTCAACATTTTCACCATAAGGTTTGTAAGGTATGAGAGCTTAATTTTGCAATTACAGATAATCAACTAAGTGGTATGAAGTGATCTTTAAAGAATAATAGGATGCCGATGGATTCCACAAAGCAAACCTTAAGTCCCCACTACCAAATAGTGAGAAGCTCCCACTTGGCATGACTTCAATCCTTGAACCCCGATGTGGGAAGCCAGATGGCCGGAAAGCCCCACTCCTCTTACGTACTAATGAGAGCCATTTCTCAAATGTCTGTGCTGGTGTCGATATATCACCACCAAATAATAAAGAAACCACCTAAACACAAGCAGATTTGTTTGGTTTTACTCGGTAAGATAAAAGTATCAAATTTAAAATTACAAATGAACATTGGGGAAACAACACTTACACGAGAAGATAGTTTCAGATCTCTATCCTCGTTTTCCTGCAAGAAATGTAAAAATTTATATTACATTTATGTATTTCTGCTTCAAGACATTTCAGAATACTCTAATGGCATATCTTGATTGATGAAAAAATTGAGAGAAAAAAAAGAGAGACATCTAAAGCAGTTTTTTCCCTGAAGATGAACAGATGGAATTTTGTACACCAAGATTGCCTATATCACCAAGTTCTAGCAAACAGAAGAGTACAATCCCACAGAACTAACACCAACACGAGACTAACACTTCCATTTACCAGCTTATGCTCCGTGGATGCAAGTGGTTGGGTCAATTCAAAACCCATTGCAGTTAGTGAAGAGTTCAGTGTTCACTTAGTTGGTACACCCGCTGTCCCAAATTATAGGTCGTTTTGGCTTTTCTAGATACATAGCTTTTGCTATGCACCTAGATATACGATATGTCTAGTCTAGATACATAATAAAAGTTGTGTATCTAGAAAAGCCAAAATGACCTATAAATTGAAACAGGGGAGTAGATCATTACTCATTAGGAACACTTGTTTGTAAACTAAATGAACTACTCATGTATGGGTCAATCACTCAGTCTAGGGCAATCTACTTGCATCCCTAATATGCTCACCTCGAACTGGAGTGAAAAAGGCACATCCATGTGTTACTTCCCTGGTCTTACAAGGAAGAAAGTTCCAAGATTTGGCACATGACCTACCTTTGGAGAAATTAGCATGTATAAACTCGAATTGAAGCAGAACGCTGATCTAGTTTGGATCAGGAGGTGTCATTGTGTCAAGCATAATGCATTGTGCAAAAATCGAAATAACAAGACGAGAACAAACTGCTTTTCTCCATTCATGATCAAATGGCCCTCCAAATAAACCCGCATCAAGCCTCACTGCATTTGGGGGAAAGGCGCACTTGATAGCCAAAGATGAGACTGAATGGCAATGGAAGACTCACGGATACACCAAGCCGGATCAAGAACCAATATCAAACCTAAATCTGACCAGTGGCCAGCACAAAGCAGCTGCATTTCGCAACCATGTCCCGAAGCAGGTAAAGGTTCAGATTTGCCAACAAGTCCCCCTCCCTTCCACTCTTTTACCCGCCTAGAAACTACGACAGTGACTAACTCAGAGCATCAATCAAGACCATATCAGATCACAAAACACAAGTCCAAAGAAGAGAAAGGAACCCACCTTGGGAGGAGGAATAATGGAGGGCCGCTCCTGGTCGCGCTCCTCCTCCGCCGCCGCCTCTGGCTGCGTCGCGTCCCGCTGTTCCATGGGAGGGGCAAGGCGCGGGTAGCCCTTGACTACGCAGGCGCTTGGAGTGATATAGGTTTCAGCAACCGCCGCCTACGGCCTGTGCTTTGCGGCCGCCTGGCTTCCCGGTGGGGGAGCGGGGCCGTCAGACCCCCAACGGAAAAGGCGGGATCTTGCGCGAGTTTTCCTCCCCGCTCCACCCTTTCGGTCCGGTTGTCGGCTTTTTCCGTAATGGTGACTGCCTGCTGGAGACTGCGCGCCAGACAGACGAAAAGGCAAAAGATTATTTTTTCTACGTGTCATTAAAAAGTTCGGACTTGCCTATAGGTGCTATGACACTTTATTTATTTGTCTTCCAAGCCATTCCGTCTAGATTTAGTAGGGTGCATGCGGCGAAGAGAAATCAGTGGCCATGTGTGCCACTCCCCGACCAAACTGTTTGAGCACCAAAAAAGTACAGTGGGGCGGTTACTGCTTTTTGGGAACGGAGTCCATGGATAATGGCTAGCATCACCGTCACAGCAGAGCCGGTCCGATCCTGCCTGGATTTCCCGATACGCCGTTGTACCCATGTTTGCAGGGCTTCCTAATTTAGGTTTTTGGACGCAGGGACTGAAGATGAGTAGATGTCACATTGAGTATTTACATACTAATTAGAAAGATTAAATATAAGCTTGTCCTGGCGTGGGTGGTTAACTGTTCATCCTGTCATAGTGAACAACTTATATTGTCTTGGCTGAGCCCAACCAAATTTATAGCCATGTCAAGCTAGTAGGCCCAAAAGATCAGGATTGTTCTGGCCCAAATTTTTGCACAGGCCTAACTAAATCACAGGCTACATCTGAGTCTATTTGTTTGTTGCTGCCCTGCATGTGCATATTCTTAGCCAATGATCTCAAAACATGAAAGGCCAAATCGTAGGGCCTGAAAGCCACCAGTTTACAGGAAACAGTCCTGTTACCCAGCTTTTACATTTAATACTTCAAATTATTTGGGCATATTTGTTGGTTCTAGTCTATGGACACAGATCATAGGCAAAGTTTTAGTCCACTTGTTCATGCAATGGATATATATTTTGGGTGCTGATTTGTATTATTTAGCATTGCTAGACCCTGTTAGAACAAATGAACAAAGTGGATTAAATGTTTCATTGCTGTATGTTTTGTCATAGGTTGGCTTGTATTCCAATTATTAGGTTCTCAAAAAAAAATGGACTAAAGTTATTAAATGATGTGGAAGAAAGATTATTTTATCCACTCTTTTACCCTGAGAGAGAGGGGACAATAAATGAGGGGCATGGGTGTCCCCAACACCTTTTAGTTTATTTTAGTCCAGTTTTAGTCTAAGTGTTTTGCTGTTTAGTCCAACTAAAGTGTAGATTTTAGTCCAAAATGTTTTAGTCCATGGAGCCAAACACCCCCTTAGTATCAAACATCCGGATATGATATGGACTAAATTTTAGTAGGGGAAATCAAGCACCTGTACCGTGGATCATGACATGTCTAACTCAAAAAGCCTTCAGATCGAGGCCGCTTGTATATGCTCTATATTTTTAAGCTGTGAAAACAACGATTTTTTTTGCAATTTAGCCCTTTTTATCAAAATTTCATATTTATATCCCTAGGTGTCAAAAACCCATCTTTAAACCTTGTGCTCGGCGCAATGACTTAGGATGTTTGGTTTGACATGTCTAACTGCAGACAAATTTGCGATTTTGTCCCAATCTTGCCTGTCAAAACCCATCTTTACCTTGTGATGTGATGACTTGGTTGATGTCCTAGGATGTTGCCTGTCCCAATCTTGCCTGCATTACCTTGCGTTTGGTTGATGTCCTAGGATGTTGCATCGCCGAGCAAGTGGCCTGCTGTTTGGTTGGAGACCTAGGTTACTTGTCTAGTAAAAAGTATTGTTTGAGAGTTCAATGAAATTTGCCTCACGAGGTAAGTAGATAGGTGATATGTTTGGTTGGAAATCAATGCATGAGAAGTTTAATAAGGAGAGAGAATATGTTTTTTATGTATACAACTAATATTTTTGAACATGTATGTATACAACTAATATTGTTAGAATACTATACACCATAATAATATAATAGAATATAAATCAATGATTTTTGTGTATAAATAATATGCATAAAATGTAATTATTTTTAATATTTTATTTATTAACAATTCGTGCAAATAATTATGGAACAAATAGAAATTAAACATAGCGAAGGCACCGTGATAAGCGATGTTGAGTAACACAAAACAGGAAAAAGAACAAAACGTAAATGGCATCATTTCACCGAGAAGGTAAAGAAAAAAAAAAGATGGAAGAAACGTCATTACTACAGTACCGTATTAATTATCACCAGGCAACCTAGTCCTGTACCCAGGCGCTCAGTTTTGATGGCCTGGCCGTGGCCGCCCTTGCCTGGTCCAGGCGTGTATCCAGGGTTCAAAGCAAATGCACTTGCCTGGTCCAGGCGTGTATCCAGGGTTCAAAGTAAACGCAGTACAGGCAACCTTTTCAGGCAGGTGTTTGCTCAGGCACAATCCATCCAGGGTGCAATCCAAACAAGCCCTGGAAATCGAGCGCCAGGCTTATCTGGCCGCCTGTGTTGCCTGGCGTATCCTTTTGGTTGGTTTGTTTATTCACCACCGGAAAAAGCCATGCAAATCGTTAGCTTTTGTGTCTGCCTTTTTTAAGGTGTGGGTGTATGCCTTTTTCTCTTGTTATTTTTTGTCTAGTTCTTATTTTCACTGACTGCAAAATATTTTGGTGATTAGCTACTTGATGGTTATGAAAGAATCTATTAATCACGGGGTAGAACTTAATTATTTTCTTGCAAATACTTTATCGTCGTTAGTTTCTTAATATAAACATGTGGGACAAAATGTCACGATCAAAATCAAACTATAAAGATATATGTAATCTTACATAATAGAAATTAAAACATTTTAATTTTATGCATATCTCTATTAGCATTCTCAGGCACAGGTCTCTAACCGAACAGATCTTCTTCTAACTTGCCTGGCCACGCAAAAGTCATCAACTTTCTAGGCAGTTTTCAGGCAACTTTTGCTAGGCAAGTCCTCCAGGTCTCTAACCAAAGAGGCCCTTATGGCGCCAAGGCACTTCTCGGCGCCATAGGTCATGGTGCCGATGTAGGTTCGAAATGACGTGGTAGGCGACGTGGCTAGAGGTCGACGCCACGATTCATGGCACCAACCTCGGCGCCGGAGATCGTGGCACCGATCCCTAAATTTAACCTTAGCCACAAATTATCTTGACTTGGACACCTCAAAATTTTTACCATGACATTGTAATGTCAAATTTGGTTGCATTTTTACTATGAGATGGATATATAATTCAAGTTATAGGTTGTCCATCTCATGGTAAAATCATAGTAAAAGCGCAACCAAATTTTATATGACCATGTTATGGTAAAATTTTAGGATGTCCAAGTGAAGGCCCTAATTTGATTTTGGTGAATTGATGAAACCCTATGTGCTAACCTAGTTTATCAAACTGATCATGAGATAGGTAGCACATTCCAAGTGGAGGAGCAATTGTGAAGATCATGATGATGGTGTGACCATGATGATGATCAAGTGCTTGAACTTGGAAAAAAAAAAGAAAAACAAAAGGCTCAAGGCAAATGTGATATCCATAGAAGCTTTTTGGTTTGGTGATCGAGACACTTAGCGAGTATGATCACATTTATGATCGATAGTTGTACTATTAAGATGAGTGAAACTCATATCAAAATGCGGTTATCAAAGTACCACTAGATGCTCTAACTTATTGCATATGCATTTAGGATCTAGTGGAGTGCTAACACCCTTGAAAATATTTGTGAAAATATGCTAACACACGTGCTCAAGATGATACACTTGGTGGTTGGCACTTTTGAGCAAGGGTGGAGAAATTGGTGAAGTAAAGGAGGTGTTTGTCACTGGAAAACAGTGACCGAACACTGCTCTCGCAGCGACCGGACTCTATGCCTACGTCCGGTCAGCGTTGGGCAGTGATGGCCTGGTCTCTGTGAACGTCCGGACAATGAACAGTGTTTTGTGACCGGACATGCAGGGCCTACGTTGTGGTAGAACTGCCCAAAATAACACATTTTCGAAGGCGCTCGTCTTCCACTAGACACTAAGCATCCCGAAAGTTAGCTACATCGGACAGTTTCGTCGAGCACACCCCACGGAAGACCTCGAATCAATCCACGTTTGACCTCCAGAATCCAATAATAAGTACGAGCTTACAATACTTAGTCCATTTCATACAATAAGAGTTCTTGAAAATTATTTATTACAATACCAAGGTTCAGAGTGCAATAATAAAACTACAGAATGGAAATAAACAACTAGCGGAAAATGATACAAGGATCCGTCTATGCCCACCAGAAGAATCCTCCACACAAGAGCTACTCCTCAAGCTGCACCTACAACAGGGTAAAATAAACCCTAAGTACATAATGTACTCGTAAGATTTACCCGACTAGTGGAAATAGTTTCTCGACTCCAAAGGGTATGATAGGTAATATGGGTTTGCTGTTTTCTTTTTATTTGCCAAAAGCACTACTAGAAGTACGTCCTTAAGATCAAGTTTAATTAGCAGTTATGATTACTTCATTAGCTAACCATTCTAAGTAAGCACATGTTCTACTTTCAAGCAAGGGTTGAGCAATCAGAACCATTTTTCATATTCCAGTTCTTATTACGGTGCTAGACCATAGCCAAGTTGTACCGTCTCACGGAAACAACGATTTGTGAACCAATATATCCCAGCTGGGTACCCTAAAACACACGTCCCATTTGTACCCCAGGCATAAACAAGCCCAACCCATTCTACTCCTATCACAGGGTCCAGGTCCCCGTCCAAACTTGGACTTCAAGCCCCCACACTTGAGACTCGGTCTCAATATGGTGCTTAGACCTCCACCTTTTCCTGCCTCCAATCAGTCGGTCCGGAAAGAGACGAAACCCATGACAAGAGCGCAACGAGCCTTCCCGCTCCCATAAACAAGTATG